GGCGATATATCGGCATTTTTAACTATTAAATTTAAATTACCATTTAGCTCGGTTTCAGACCATTCAAAATTGTAATATGTAACAGGTGTATCCAAAGAAATTTCCATGGATCATGGAGTTAATTTCAATAGCCAGTTATTCTCCGAGTTATGTAAAATTGGGTGTGGTGAAAACAGACACTTTGACTTATTATCCCCACTCTGCTGGTTTAGCAGAAAAGATAATAAAGTGTTAAGTGGACGTTTGCAAAGTTAATCACAGAAGAGCCAACTGGGACAAACACTTGTAATATGTCATGATGGCACATCATGCAACAGAGATAGACTGGTTGCTTGCCAAACATGCTCATATTTTGTCGGATAATACTGCTCTTTAGATGTGATGTATGGTCTATCTCCGAGAGCAAATGTACCACAGTGTCCACAAGAATATGTGGAGGTTAGAGTCTGTATTGGTTGATATACAAGTCTGTGTGCCAACAGTTCGGAAAGGCCACTCTATGACAGGTGTTGCATTAACACAATTAAGGAACACATTGTGGAGACTGGATATGGTTTTGGTATGTGCCAACAGTATGGAAGCAATTGGCTTTGGCTAGGTGGATCTGTATCTCGTACAAGTTGGTCCATCGATATACAAGTTATAATAGTCCCTTGGCTTTTGTAAACGTGTGGTACATGTCCAGAAGGCGGCTATGTGTTATAAAACTACTGTGCACTGTTTAGAGTAGAAATTAGAGGTCGAGATTTAAGAGTTAGAAGATGATGAGAATACTGATTCATATCATCTCGACTCAACTGATGAGATGGAAGATAAAGAAAGTAGTACTCTACTCTAGCTGTACAAGATAAATCAGATGAGGAAGAACCCGAAGAAGAGGCACAACATAGTTCCCTCTTCAACCTTATCTACGCAAAAGTCTTCTTCCCATAATTATTTACCTGGATTATCATTTTATTTTACTAGGCTCTTATCTAATTATGTCCCAAATTATGTTTGTTATTTCCCTGTGTTTATATTTCCAATTCCATTTGTAGTTGTTTTAATTATTTCTTTTTCATATTCTTGTCACCATGTTCCACGTTGAACATGCGTGTACTTAGAACCTTTGCATTTACTTACTTTTAGCCAATTCTTTCTGAGCTTAATTCCATTGCAACAAAGATCGTCTGCTCAAAGCATCGCACAAAATAATGAGAAAGTTTTCATTTTGACGTGTCAGTTTACTGTTTATTATCATTTATCCAACATAGCTCTATTAGATGGTAAAGACATCGGCCTCTTGATCACTACAACCGGGATTAACTGCTATATCAGAAGTTAGGCCAGTCAATTATTTTATGATCAGTGACTGAAAGCAAGTAGCATTTCCTGCTTTTCAAGCTATCATGTAGCGTTTCATGAAACTTATATACTACATTGTGTGATTGCCTCTTGATTATTACAAAGTTAGAATGGTTTGTTGATTGCAAGATTAAAATAACCAAAAGGGCATTATGACCCTAATTTTCTAAGACACTGAGAGGACTTTCAACGAGAGACATCTATAACATATTCTATAATAGTTGTTTAATTATTATGATTAGGACAGAAGGTGGCAGTAGATGCAGTGTCTAGAATATCATCAGTTTGTAAGACTGAAAATTATCATTCGGAGTTTAAACGTAGTTTCCTGTATTTGTTTTTTTCCGTGATGTCAACTAAACTGTGTGGATTGACTAGTAAATGGCAATAAATTATCTTGATAATTCAGCTTCTGGTGTTGGCACCCATCTAAGACAGTAAATGTATTTTACTACAGAATGTTGTATTTAGCCTAGGTTGGTCTGAGTGTATAGCGATATATACTGTAGTAACTAGCTGAAAGAAGTTTTGCTGAAAAATTAGCCTGGCTTAATTATGCTGGGTAAAATTTCTTAGATGTTGCTGAAAAACATAAGTTTAACAGCTCATAGATGACAGCAAGTTACAATAACTGAGCTATCAAAATATAGATGGCGATGCTCCTAAGTAGCTTACAATAGTAATGTCACACGAGTCGAAGGCAGTGTGACAAAAGCTACGATTATATGACAATCAGTAATGTTGACACACACACATATATACATATATCTAACCTATATAAAAGTCATTGTGTCACGTCACGCTTGGTTTCTCGAAATAGGAGGAGTCATAAAAGCCAAAATGCAATTATCCAGATAGAATAGTTTGTATAAGGTCTGCCATTACGATTATAATGACGGGGGTGTAAGGGGGCCATGAAAGTGTGTGTGAAGTGAAACCTTATACGTGTAGTGAGTGTTGGTATAAGCCTAAAGTAAAGACGTAATGCGGGATCATCTAGCTTAGAGCCAAGTGCATAAAATTTATCATGAAAGTAAAAATACCAATTCAATTTTAAACTTATATCGTTTTTGAATTAAGCTATTTCTGTTATATCACCAACGTTTTAAATAAAAACCTCTTTAATCAATAATTTCATTTTATATTATCAGTACATAAACTAACAGCAACATTAGGTTATACTTTTGTTGCTAAGCAACGTGATATAAAACCCATTGTTGGAACGTAGTGTTACCAAGACGCACTGCCTTTTCTATATATTAGTTGTTAATACAACTTATTTTTACCAATAACCATTCCATGAACACGTCACGAATTCACTTCATGAATGATCTTAATTTTGATTGGCTAACAAAGGAATTTACCGACGTTTGACTCTTCAGCTGCAATTTTTCTGCCTCTTTGTTTGTCAAGCTCGATTTCGAAAATATATTTATTTCAGTTAGCTATAAAATGTGAGGTTAGGGTATGCTATTGGGTGTGGGTGATAGTACTTGCCCCGTCATTTTTGACGGGCTATACTCTAGTTTATATATATATATATGGCAATACGTGTTTGAATACATATTTATGTGGTGTTGTACACAGGTATAGATGTTACACAGTCATTCATATTTGTTGTAAAACACAAATGAATCAATCACACTGAGAGCACAACTATCAATCAACATATGAATGAGAATAGAGGATCTGATCAGTATGTCAAGACTGAAATATAAAGTACACTGAGCATTAGTTGAAGATACAGTGCACCTGCTATATTCACCTGATACTGCTAAGAGAATGTTTCAGTAATGACAATGAAATATTCAGCAGGTAGTGTATTTTTTGTTGGTTTGAAATAGCCAAGGAAAAACGCCTATTGAATCATTGTAGAATACACCTGACCAAATCTAGTTTGATGGGAAATTATTCTGCACAACATTGTCGACAGTTTACATAATATATGTTGAAAGTTTTTAACTTTGGAAAGTAAAGCTCTCCTTAAACAATTTGTTTAAGTTTTTGCATGTCAGGCAATTACAGTTTACATTAGAATTTTTAATAGGTTTAAAAAAAATTTTTCAGTTTCGTCAATTTATGTATAGATGAATGGCCTTACCTCATACATTGCATTTATTTTTATTCTTCATACCATTTTATGTCGTTTTCGTTTGGTTATGTTATCCTAACTAAACAATTATTAAAATTAATGCAATGTTGTCAGCAGTAAAAACTTGAGTAATAACTTCAAAATATATTAAATTATTATTTGTTTAAAATTTGGACAGTAAATATTTGGAGCAGGTGTATGAAAGGGGCAGTAGGAATATTTGGAACTTATTAAGCCCTGCACACCAATTACTGAATGTATATTCATAATAAAATATTGAATAATCTGTATAGAATAATCAGGTACAGAAGCTTCTTGACCAAAATTCATTAACAATCCTTTCAGAAAAGCATATATCTGACTACTTTACCCTAATTTGAAATACTGATTTTGGAGCCTCACCATACCACCACAGTTTATATTGCCATATCTAGCCATGCTGTATTTGATGACCATGCTTCTTTACAATAACACTGCAGCATAGTTTCCATTGCAAAAGGATCCATGATAAGCTTAAGCATGATAAGCACACCACTTTTCCATACATGCTTTCCCTAATCGATCTAGGGCATGTGAAGACAGTTTTCCAGCAGTTGTTTCAACAGTCTGATCACACAGAAATTCATAGGCTGTGTCTAGCAATTTAACTTGTATTTCTTTATACGATATAGCAAGAATACTCATTTCAATCTCAAACTGCTTGAAGTATACAGAAGTTGAAAAACAGGTACAACTGGAAGTCTTATCTGGGGGAACCTGGCCCTACTCTGTTGACCTCATTTCCAGATGAAAATACAATTCTGTTTCTGGATGGTCATGATTCATCAAATTTATCAATATTCCTAAGTTTTCCAACATAATTAAGAATAAGGGATATAACCACCTTGGAAATTATAAGTTGCTAATCTGAACATATCTTTATGATCTGAGCATAAGAAAATTTCTCACCAGAAATGGCTGTTGCATATCCTTCCCAAAAGTGCTTAAGTTGCAGTGACATCATACTATCTACGAAACACCAAACAATGTCAAAATGTATAAATTCCATTCCACCATGATTTTATATCAACTGTGATTGTGACATTGTTGATATACATATTCAAAATCATTTTAATATAACATAGTCAATCCTCTGTAGTTCACTCTGTTGTAATTCAAGGTTGAGACAGAACCAAGCATAAACATAGTTCTGAGACAAAGTTTGAAGTTTCTAAATGTATTTTACAATACTAAAATATTACTTAAAACCACATATGCTAATAAATATTTTATAAATGTACTTATTTTTTAAATGACAAATTAAACAACTTTTATGTTTATTAGTTGTTAGAAAAGAATATAAACTTCATTTCAACTTTATAACATTTTTAAAACACCTTTAATATGTTGTCTAATTGTTTTTGTTTTTTAATATCTACAAAATGAACATACTGTGTATGTCTGAATTAATATATTTACACTTATAAGATATGCAGTTTTCTTTTTATACATAATACAAATATCAAGATAACTTGAAACAACCACAAGCATTTTTCTGGTAAAATTGGTTTTAATTTTAAAAGTTACAACAAATTGATCACATCTTTAAACAGTTTAAAATTAAGAATTTCACATCATTTATAAAAATATTTAGCATAACCAAATTTCCAAACTACAAATGAATATATAGAAAGTAATTTTCTTAATATGGAGTTTAAATGAAAACTAAAGTATTTACATTTTAATTATAATGAAAAAATACTGCATTGCCTATACCTTGTAGAAAATTAGAATACTAGTTTTTCAGAGAATTATAGAACATTTGATGATTTTCTATATAAGAAACATTCTCAGAGATGATGTCACATATGGCAGACCTTTGAGTTCCTAAATAAATTTTGAGAAAATATCTTAAATTTATTTTTATGTAATGAATAACTATGCTTCATCTACAGATTATTCATCACCAAGTTCTTAATGTTTAACAGGAGTTAGGAATACTTCTGCATTTAAAAAAAACATTAAAAACTTTCTCTGGACCACATCAAACAAAATAATATGGTTTATATTATTACAATTCCCTTACAATGAATTAAATTATACAGTTTGGAATGCAAACTTTAATTGAGATATTTGGAAAATCAAGTTTCTTGTAAAAAAGAAAATTAAGTGTGTTAATTTACATCAATTAACACAAAATGTTGCATCTTGAAAACTAAAATATTTTATAATCAACTTCCAAAGTGAAAAGAAAAAACCGTTAAACCTATAGTATCTAACACACATTAATGTGTGACATAAGCTACATAAGTTATTTGGAACAGACACTAACAACTTGCATGAGATAAATTTATCATGGAGGTAATATGCTGATACATACTTCACATATACTAAATCTTAGTTTCAAAACTGAATTCTAGTTCTTTTGGTATTGGTATGTTCTGCTGCTGAGCATACTGCTTGAGGGCTAGATACTTCTCACGAATGTTGTTAATTTCTTCTTGAATTTTACGATTTTCTTCTCGGAGTTTGTTGATTTCTGTTACAGTTACAGTTTTGTCATGCTCCAATTCATCTTTCTGTTCCATCCGTTTATTTCGACAACTAGCTGCATAACCTCGGTTTTTTAGCGTTCTCCGACGTTGTTTCATTTTTACAATTTCTGATCGATTCAAACCAGACATTTTAAGGTGTCGGTTTAGCTCTCTAACGGATAAACTAACAAGCTCATCATCACTTATTGGCATTCTTCCTAGTTCACTGCCACTGCTCTCATTTCCATCATCAAGATCTCGCTTTCAATCAGAAAAAAGAAAAGCTTAAAATTTACAAAATTGCATCAGAACAAGCCTAACTGAAGTATAATTAATATGAAAATAATGGAAGACTCTTGCATAAAATTAATATTACTTTGCTGAATCCTTCTTTTATTAAACTACAAAGGACTATTTATCATGACATTTCAGCTAAGAAGCAAAGTTTAACACAGGACCTCTCCCTGAACTACAGGCACCTTGCCAGTAGGTGTCAGACATAAAAAATCCATGATTTTTCCAATTTTGGTGAAACATATATAGAATGCAGCACACAATAAAACAAGACAATTACAATCTATAGTTTCCAAACTGGACAAAAACTGAACTATAATTGATCATATCTTTAGTAGAAACCCCATAGTTGATGACAGTACTTCTGGTTTGGCAACAGGTTCAATAAATGAGCCTTCTTCTTCACCTGTTGTTACATCTGTTTTATCAAACCTTAGCCCAACAGATGTTAAGCAAATAGCTCCAAGCCCCATTTACCATGTTCTGGAACTTTGATACTCATCAACTTCATCATCAACCACAATTACAGCCATTTTGGATAAGACCACAATGGACTTTTTGACAGCCCTTGTTGAGGCAAATTCATCTGTCAAGCCCAAAGATACTGTGGCAGCATCAAAAATAGATTCTGTGCTTATAAGAACAATAGTAATGATATGGCCAGATCAGAAGATCAAGAACAAAGTCTCCAACCTCAAATGGACAATGAAGAAAGGTCACATAATTTGATTTGGGAATAATAAAAAAAAAAAAGAGATAATAAATTTGCATGTATGTGACCATTGCTGGTAACATGGTGCAGCTACTCTGAAACCTTGTCTCTCTAAGACTGCTCATAACCCCCAACTGAAATATGCTACCACCATATGGATTGTATATTTGGATACAGCAGGTTCCAGAATTTCCAACTGTGTATGCAACACCACCAAGAGACAATTGCTGGAATTTCTTGTTTCTTGCCCTTCTAATACAAAACATTATTTCACCTCTGACTGAGGGAGAGATCCTGTGTTAATATTAAGAACACATGAACAGAAAAGGTGATAAAAAAATAATATAAACACCTGAAATAAGGTTCAAGATAAGTATGAAATTTCTGGGTGTTAGTTCATTTTGGTTTTTGTTTAATAGAATGGTGCCCCAATATTTGTTAACTGCAATTTCTGGGATGTAAAAACCCCATTCAATGAAGTGATCCAAAACAAGCACAGCTATAAAATTATCAACTGCCAATGATGCATTTTCTAACTTACATGCACCATCTCTAATAAAAACCACAGGTTGAATAAAATGTTTATTTAGTCAAAAACACACAAGAAAAATGTAATGCATGCTTAATAGTACAGAAATCCAAACCAACTGACTAAACATATGTATTAACAGTGAACTACAACATAAAAAAAATCACAGAAGTAACAAAACTACATTACGATCAAACAATCTCACTATATGTACACAAAACAGCTTTATTAAGAGGTATCAAACTTATTATGAAAGAGAATGTCTATCCTTAATAATAAGAAAATATTTATAGTATATTAACACTATACACAAAAGAAATATATGATAATCATTACTTTTCTTTCACAAAGACTACTTCTAGACATTATCATTTGTCTCTGCAGTAGAGAAGTTATAACTATGTAGCATTTTACTAGAGAAAGTAAGTGTTATTTGAAGCTTAGAATGGTTTACTTAGTATATTTCAGTTAGATTAGTGCAGAGCTAGGTGATTAGTGGAGTTTGAAAATCAATCTTCAGACTCATTAACCTAATTGATTATTCTCACACAATACTTGGATATTTGAAATAATTGAAAATAGTTATCATTGGAAACACTAATTTCAATTAGTTAATCATTTTTATGAGTTATGACTAATTAATTAAGCTGAAAACCTTGAATGAATCAAAAATAAGGAGAAATCATAAGAACAATATTTTGATGACTTGGATGGTTGGAATAACTGAATATAGTAATAATTGGAAATACTAATTTCAATTAGTTAATCATTCTCATGAGTTGTGACACTAATTAATTAAGCTGAAAACCTTGAACGAATCAAAAATAAGGAGAAATCATAAGAACAATATTTCGATGACTTGGATGGTTGGAATAACTGAATATAGTAATAATTGGAAATACTAATTTTGATTAGTTGATTATTTTTATGACACTAATCAATTTAATCAACTGTTTAACACAACACTAAACAGATACTCACAGGTTATCGATTATATGAATTAATTGAGTTAATCACATAGCTTGAGGTTTAAACACTTTTTAGGTTTTATTACTGTAACTATGGCTAATCATTAAGTTATGATGCAAGACCTAATATTTAGATTGAAAGTATTTAGGATAGTGAAGATATTAAGCATTATACTGAAATAAGAAATTAGCAGAAGCATTAGTCAAATAAGGTAGCAATGTCTAGATCATGTACACATTAATTCCTTGGTGGTAAGTAGAAAGATTGAGAGATGAAAAATAGATAAACCAAGACCAGACAAGGTTTCCTTCAGGGTTTTGAAGGAGAACAAAGATCAGATATGCAAGCCTCTTTCATTTTTGGTAGATCAGTAGACAATGGGGATAGGACCTGAGGATTGAAGAGCTTCTTATGTTGCTTCTGTTGTTAAAGGGGAGTGATAAGAGTTGCTCTGGAAATTATAAGTCAGTTAGTCTTACTTCTGTAGTGGGAAAGATTCTAATGTCTGATAAAAGGAGCTTTACAAATCATTAAGTGGAGTATGATATCACACCTGAAAACCAACATGGACTAACAAAGGAGAAATCTTGCCTTAATAATCTGTTCTCTTTTTTTGAAGACATTACTTGTTAATTGGATGATGGAAAGGGCGTGGACTTGGTGTATTTAGATTTCAAAAACTTTAGACAGGTACTACACATAACATTAGCTAAGAAAGTCAAATTGTAAAGGGTTGGGACAGTCTAGTTAATTGGATTGTAAGGCGTTTGGATGGAATAAAAGAAGACTTATTTATGGAGTCCAGTATACTGGAGCCATATTCAATAGTGAAGTTTCCCAGAAATCAGTACTGTGGCCTTTACATTTCCTAACTTACATATTGATAATGACTGGTTCATAACCATTAAATTACTAAAGTTTGCTGATAACATTAAAGTTTTGGGTATTTCTAGTTGTACTGAACACGTTGAGGTATTAAAGAATGATTTGGATCAATTCTAAGGGTACACCAATAGGTTGGTAGGTTACTGGTGTGGCACCAATATAAGGAAAAATCATATTATCGACTATTGGTCATTTTTGTTTGTAGCCAATAATATATACTGATATTTTTGCTTCTCGTTGCACATAATGTTGTGATGATCACTGCTCAAATTATTAATATGTTGACCAAAGTAGCCATTGTTACAAAGCTCTCATCATGGTCATGTACAATTCTATGAAGACCACACAGGCCATCAGTTTTAATGTTGCTTAGTGCTCCAAATACTGATCTTAATAGTATTGCACTTGTTAAAACAGTACGGTAATGTGTTTGTGTTAGTTTCTTACAATTATAAGCATTTTGAATATTAATAATCCAACCCTTAATAATAAGATTATTCCTAAAAATACATCAAATTTTATTTCCACATACATTTATTATGTCATAATTGAAAGTGAATCAGATATGAACAATACCATAGTTGACTTCTATTCTAATTTCTTGTCTACAAAACCCATACTGGCATGGTTGTGGCTGAAACACATCACAAAGTCAGAGGTTGCACCATAATGTTGGATTTAACCCTCTGTATTTGAGTTACACTGTGAATCTGAAAGTCTTCTTTTATTCTCTGAAGTGTTGAAGTGTTTAGGCTAAATTTTGTAAAATAAACTGAATAGTTTTATGCTGCCTTTTGTGGTGAAATTATTAATTATGTTTGCATGTAAGAAAGGTTCTACTATAAACTAACAAAAGTTAGTTACAATGAAAAGTTAATATACATGTGTATATATATTTTTTATTTTGTTACATTTTTATATAAGCACTAGTGCAAAGTAATTTTTTAAACTTTTTTATGATTGTTATTCTATTTATTCATTTTCTGATCTACATTCACCAAATAAATACTATTTGTGAATTTTTGTTATAAATGAAACCAGGAAAAAAATCACCTACAGGGTAAATTTTAATTTGCTTCAGTAGTTTAAAGTACCTTACCTGCACTAATACTAAATATCAGTATTGGCTAATATGGTTGAGTAATTACAGGCTACTGATCGATATCAGTCAAGAATATCTTAATTGATTTATCACTAATAAATTGGTCACTCAAGCCTTCAAATCAGTGCTCTGTTGCTAGTAGTAAAGCTAATAGGATTTTAAGGTGTATTTATAAACATATTGATATGATTGCAAATCAGAAGAGGTAATTCTCTACACAATCACTAGTTAGGTCTCACATTGAATACTTGTACAATTTTGGTTTCTTTTATTAAGAAAGGATATAAACTTACTGCAAAGGGTTCAGAGAGGTCTATTAAGATGATTGCTATTTTTGACAGGGTGATAAGAGATGCTCTCAAAATTATAAGCTATTTAGTTTTACTACTATAGTAGGAAAAGTTCTAGACAGTCTGATAAAAGCTTTATAAGTCAAAAGAAGTAATTGCCTCTTTATTCTAATCATTAATTAGGCTTCACTTAAAATATTGTCTAGTTCTGCTCTTATTATTTAAGAAAGTATATTAACTTACTGGAAAGGGTTCAGAGAAGGTCTACTAGGATGATTCTGATGACGGAAAGGTTATGTAAGGCAGATAGGTTAATATATCATAATTTCTCGTAACAAAATCAAGGGTAAGAAGTGATCTTGTTGAAGATCACAAGATTATCCAGAGGATGCATAAGTTAAAGGAATTTGAATTTTTTTGTTTTATATTCTGAAGATGACAGGACAAGAGGACACAAGTCTAATACTTACAAAACATTTTAGGGATAACAAGGGGCCTGTTCATTAATCAAGGCTGACCCATCCAAACAGAAAAAAAACAACTCAAATCCAGCTCTAATAATTTAAATATTTATCAAATCTCATCTTTATCTTACTACATCTACCACATCTGAAGGATTAGGATGGTGAGATTTTTCAGTAGTGAAACCATGTTGATTATCCAACAAAAGTTTAAACATTGTTAAGTAATTTTGAAAAGCACCTTTTTATCAAGTTTTCAAAAACTTTTCCTACCACTAACTTCTAATCCTCTAGTACCTACCCACTACTCAAGAACTCACCACAAAATACAAGCACATTCCTTTTCAATTGCTCATTGTCCTGTTTAACTAACTCCCTTGATATTATAAGGCTAGGATCCAGTTAAGACTGTTTTAGTTTTCTAACAGGGTAATTGACTTAAGTTATGGTGCGAGTTTCCATTGGCAATAGTGGAGGCCACCACTTTATAAGAGCTTAAAATGAAATTAAAAAATTTCCTGAAAAATAACTAACAGGATCAAACTTGGCAAGCAGACTCAGGATGGCACTATTTGAAATTACTTTAAGTGTGATTAATGGCATTAATGAATTTTCTGCTTTCACAACTCATTACTGTAGCCTACCTTTGTAAAAGTAAATTAAACCTTCTTAAACTTAAAAGTTAAAGAAAAATAGATACCTCTAAATTTTAATTGATATATATATATATATATATATATGTATATATATATAAATATGTTAACCACTAGTCAAACAACATTACTGTTTACACAAAGGTACTGAAACTAACTCTCTAACAACGAATTTTAAATCTTGCGTGTCATGTCTACATATGACATTAAATAATTAATATCATAACACAAACGTAGCCGTTCATTGTAAGTGTTGTTTTACAACTTAGCCTACACTTTATAAATATAATGTAACACTGTAAACTGTAACACTAACAGGAAGTTGTCAGTATCGTAATTTTTTTTATTTTTAAACGTTTCATCATGAATGAAAATTGAAATGTAACACTTGGGTCACTAACTCTGAGGCACTTACCTTCATGGCAGCGTCTTCGGTTCTTTTGTGGGTTTCTTTTCGCCTACCTTCTTTCTTCATGATTTGCGAAATCTTTTAACTTGCAGTTAAATGACGTTAATCGGTTTTTGCTGAGTCACATAGTAGAGTCTAGAATAGTGCTGTTTAATCACCGTCCAATTTCTATCTGCCAATTTTATTTCGCAACATAAACAGTTCATTACGCCCTCTATATTTATTCAAATATGGACATATAAGTAAATAATAGATAAATAAAATAAAATGTATTTGGTATTTTCAATCCGAATGGCAGTTTATGTGACACATGGGCTAAGTTGTTTGTTTACAGTTAAGCACAGATCTACACAATAGGCTATGGATGTTGTGATCACCACGGGTATCTAAACCTGAATTCTAGCGTTAGAAGTCTGAAGACATACTGCTGTGCCACTGGAGGATACTCATGGGCTAAACGGCCAAGACAGAGACCGAGCATTTAGACATAGCCGTCCATAATTTTAAACTGCTGAACAGTGCGAGAGGAAAACAGCTGGTCAGTAGCACCTGTCGCATGTACGGCACATCAAGGGGTTATTTTCCTTTCTTATTGTTTTCACTTACGGTCGCAATTTTGACGTTCGAATGAAATTTCGTAATGTTTGTTGTTGATTGTGCACCGCCTTAGCATAGCAATTTGGTCTAATTTTGGGCATTCTCACTGGGTTTTATAGATCCTTAATGTACCAGTTCCCAAAATGAGTTCCTAGGGCTGTTCACAAGAGAAACGTATAATAAAGGATGATAAAGTTGACTGATTGGTTGTATAAACTGTTCAAGTGAATTGAATTGCATTTTTTTTTTTGTGTGTGTGTGTATGTGGTATTTTTAGGTTCGAGAATATATTATTTTAAGCTATATTTCCAATGTTTTAACTTAGATGTTAGTTAAAGGGCGCACGACGTTAAGATCAAGAAACTTCCAGTAATATCTAGACATGGGTATATTATTTATAAATACGAGTTAGGTCAGTGAAGTATTTATTAATAAGTTGTTAAGTAGTGATTGACAATTCAGTAAAATCTTCAGTGTGTGTGAATGACCAACAGAATATTAATGGAGTTAAGTTATTCAGTAAGAGCTAGTGATTCTGTAAGTTAATCAGCAAGTTAGATAGCAGTTATTACAAATCAAAAAAAATCTGTTAAACGTTATCGGTGTATTAGGCTTCAGTAGTTTTAGAGTTTATGTTGGAAAGTTTTTGTGTGAACTTAGTCCTGTAATTGCATCAAAATGAAGCAAACATTATTAAAGAAATAAAGTAATTCGTTACCATTATTGGGTTGGACTTTGCATTATTTTTGACCAATTAATCTAAAACAAGCCACCCAATAGTAGAAATTGTTTCAATAACTGTTGTCAGAAGTGAGGTTATTTTGGTGAAGATAAAATATAACTAACTAAACTTCAACATCCGGTTTCAGGATGGCATCACAAAGTAAGATTTTAAAACTGTGTGATATGATAAAACAATGGAAAAAATAACAGACTGAAACAGACAAAAATTTAGGAAAACGAAGAAGAAAATTTAGAAAGATAAAAAAAGAAAGAAATAGAAAATTAGTAGAACAAAGGGTATTTAGAGAAAAATTAAGAATAAAAATAAACCTGATTGAAGACAAGGTCTATAAAGCTTTGTTTGTTTGTTTTAGAGCAAAGCCACATTAAGCTATCTGCTGTGTCCACTGTGGGGATCGAGCTCTGGATTTTAGCATTGTAAATTTGTAAACTTATTGCTGTCCTTTTGGAGGACACAGTGAAGCTATTAGGAACATACAGAAAGATTACAACAACAATTTCAAAGAAGTGTAGATGTACGTCAAAGAAATACAGAAAGGTTGTAGTGACAAAACTGAAAAAGCACAAAAAGAAGTCAATGAAAGAATGAATCACTAGGAAAATAAATGATAAATGCAAAGCACAAACCAGCCACTCCTCTTTCTACATCCACCCAAGAATTCCCTAGTCAAAGCACAATTTATATTACATATTGAAAAGGAGAACCTGTTACTAAAAGACCTTGCTGGACTAATCCAACCATGTCACTAACAAATCAAGTTCCAGAATTTAGTTGGTCAATTTAACAGCATCACCTAATTGAGAACTCAACAGATGATAATGGAAAGATACCATAGAAGGTATATCTGACTCATTTTGAAATAATTACTAAAGTTCATAGATGAAATAGCGAATTGCAAACTAATTATCTCGCTGCTCACTTAAATGGGCCTATTTTAATGACATTGAATATCCTTTCAGCTGAGAGTCACAATAACTATCAAGCATTGGTAGTAGCCTTATCCAACAGGTTTGGAGTGATACACCAGAAAGAAGTCTCTAGATCAAAGTTCCAGAACAAGCAAGGGAAAGAAGATATCTTAGCCAAGCTAGCAGATAATTTGGAAAGCCATGTCTAATTACCTTACAGAATGCTCCACGTAAAATGATGTATTCATTGGCATGTGACCAATTTATATATGGCATAATGGATGGGGTTATGAGAACTAGGTTGAAGTTAATAAGGAAGTTTCTAGTCGGTAATGAAACTTGAATCCATTATAATTGTTGATACACTGTTAAGCATATCATATACAAATTACAGGGATATTAGATCCAGTAGTTTTGAAACATCAACTTCCCCTAACAACAGCTAGTTACACAGAATGAAGGAAATAAATCACAAGAAAACGAGTGTTTCAAGTGTAACTTGAAAGAACATATTGTGAGTAACTGTAGCTTAAAGCCAGTATGGAATCAGAATTTCTCCAAGAGGATTCTAGAAGGAGGAAAATGTAATCATTATGGGAAATATGGTTATTATAGTCAATATTGAAAGGAATCAACAGCTATTATTAAGCCAAGAAAACACTACTCAAACAATGAGTATTCGAGTACATCCAGATAAAAACAACAACAAAGAGATAACCAAACACTGGAAAAACAGGAATTAATTGGATTTATAAAACAAAATTCAGCTAGAGATACTCCATCTATCACAACTGAGATAAGAAGTTCATTATTTGAGAAAAACCATCCATGAGACCTTGGATTTATTATCTATTGATGAAAAACATCCCATTATGTTGATCGATACTGGTTCTACGGCGACAACTGTTTGACTTGATTGGCTAATGAAAGGTGGGAAATTGCCTCCGTCAATGAAAAAAAAAAAGATGGAATGATGCAAAATGCAAGTGGACATAAAGTTCCAACATAAGGAAAGCTGGAAGTTACCCTTACTGTAGGAATCTTCTCTACACCTCGTGATGTAGAAGCAAAAGTACCCGTCACCAGTGACGAGAAAAATTTAAGTTAATCTATCAATTTAAATTATTTAATGGACTTTAAAAAGATTAATTGTGTTACTCTCTTGGTTTCACTTAGACCCTAAGCTCTGAGCGAATTATACTGCCCATTACACAAAATAATTTTTGAGTATTTCAGTCATGTTAAGAGCTATTCAACAATAGCATACAGTAAATCTACATTTTTATTTTTTAAGTTTTATCACATTTTGAAATGTGAATGACAGAGTGATTAATTCCTAATAATTTAGTGCAGAATATCCTGCTTACAAAATAAAATTTGGCATTAACATTATTCATGCCTGTTCTCCTGTCATTTCAAAAGTGAATGTTGAGCTTTGCCTGCTTTTCTAACGGGAGACAGACGAACGCTCGGACAGACACCATGGTTCGTAATATATATAAGTTGAGTGATTGATATCAAGGAACGGCAGAGGAATAGCACAAAATGTGTGGACCACACCCTTACAAATTTTACTATTGGATTCCCTTCATACTCAATTTATTATTATTTATGGGCTCACATTTAGCGTGGAGACACCATGGAGTCTGTGGGGGAAGTTGCTGCACCTCTCAGGAAGAGTGAGTGTATAATGAGAACTGATTTTACACAGATATGTGGTTGAGAGATTATGCTAGCTTTGAATAACATCACAGTCTATGGCCAGAAAATCCTTGTGTACTGCATGAAATTTACTAAACCAGAGGGTGAACTTCCAATGACAGTAGCCATTATATCCCAAGAAGTAAAATACTCCTATCAGGAGTTTTTAGGAATAAATCTACTCCTAGTGAATGGGGGCATAGCATAACTAAGCATGTCCAGCATGTCTTAAGGGATTGATGGTCAAAAGAGTTCTGCTTGATCTGAAGAATAGGGATGATCATACCTGATTTTTATCCAGAAAGACTTAAATCAGCTTTTAATAACATTAAATGTCATTATGATGTTAATGTGGATAAAACTGGATTCCTTCAAGTTGACATGTATGACTGAACGATTCTCATCACAAAAAGGATGAATCCCATAGTATAGCAGATATTGGGAAGGGTCATATGTTGCACTGAAACAAATCAATGATGTGCTTAACCAAATCCAGAAAACAGATAGTCCAAGCCAGAGGTAATCCACTGTGATCATCTTTGGAAGTATGTCATTGGTAATACAGCCAATTGGGTAACTCCAGAAAATAATTTTCATATGGAAATTTAACCTGCTGAGAAACACAGGGTTCCTATCATGACCATTTCCGGAGGAAGAACTCTCACAATAACAGGACAGCCAGTGACAATAAGAGAAAAGAGGTCACCCTATCTGCATACTATGAGCCTCAGAAAAGCAAATGACCAGAAAGACTTGGTGAACAAACAAATTAATGTCGTGTTTATTTTTGTATTCTAAGTTAAACATTTAAGGTACATAACAATTCACGAAGGAGGCAGTGTTGTAAGCTATATTTTCAGTATTCTAATTTAGATTTTAGCTAGAGGACACATAACCTTTTACAGTGTTCCATTCAATATGGTTTTAAGTATGTGATGTCAAAGTTATCAACTGTTCGCTTTACCAGACCCAGCTGATTTAGTGACAGTTCATGATAGAGGAGAGTAAATACCAGATACATTATACAGGGATACTTTAAAAAACTGTAGATATGCATTTTGGAAGTTCTAGAGGTTATGCAAATAAAATATGCAAACTGTATGATGTACAAAAGTATTTTCATTGTTCACATTAGCATCATCTTGCACTCCTACTTGTCAGAATCAGAATGATGACATACATTCACAGACATATTTTGAGTACAAATACCATTGTGGCACATTTAATGTTATGTGTACAACAGACTGATATATT